AAGGATAATTTCCTGAAATTGTCCCTTTCCTTATTCTCTACTCCATGCCAGAGTTGGACTTGCACAGCTGATTGTGCTGGTAAGAAACACAAGCAGAATGAAAACAAAGAACCAAAAACTCCTATGAAATGTAAATTTCAAGCTCCATTACAACCAGTGGAAGAAAAACAAAAATAATCAATGCTGTCAGAATGAAAAAGGCTGAGCTTGTTGGGAAATAAATATTGTTTTCCCCAGTGCCTAAAAGTGCTTGCAAAATATGCCACAAACAAGGGATTAGAAAGAGCTCAGCTAATTCAAATAGAGAACAAAGATGCTCTGATTTTTTAGCAGGTGATGGGATTCAGGCACAATTCCCTGTGTTTGGTGGTTGAGGTGATGAGGAAGGAGGACACAGCTCAGGGCAGGAGTGGGACAGCTCTGCCCTGCTCTTATCACTTAAAGCAGGCTCTGGGCTTTGAGATATCATGATTAAACCCATCCTCCTTTCATTTTCAATTCCAGCTGACTGTTCCTGCTTTGTCCCTGAGGTCAGGCAAATCTTTTGGAGGCTGAGTAAAGTCCCACAGGATTCAACACCAACAGCTCCCATCTTGCTGATCAAAACCTCTCTAGAAGAGACAAAATTTACCTTGGCTGCTGCTGGGAGACTGGCAAGAATCCAACCAGGCTGGAACTGCATTAGTTAGGCTGAAAATATTCCTTTTTTTTTTCCTGTTTCTTGGCATGGCTGTCACTGTCCCCATGGGGAAGAGCTCAGGGCAGCTCTCACCTCCAGCAGGGGGGAGGCACAGGATTCCAAGGGACACTCAGCAGGAATGTCACACAGCTCAAAGGAAGGGCAAGGAGGGCTCTGCAAGGATTCACTCCCAGTTTCTGGAGGGTTCCTGCAGCAGGAAAGTGTCCACATCCACACACACACATTTTTCTGGCTGTGGTTGGTGCTCTCTTGCAGAGCTCCAGGGCAAAGAACAGGAAATTTCCTCTGGTTCCCTCCCCACCCTGCTCACGGGATGTGTTAAAGAAACACAAAATCATTTATGAAGACAGATTCCTTTGTATTTGAGTGAGTCCAGGGACCCCTCTGCTGCCCAGGGGGGGTAAAAAACACCCCCAAAACCAGCCCCAAAAACCCTCTCCAGCTCAGAAAGGGGATGTGAAAAACAGGAGGGCGAAGAACACAGTAAATCAAAAAGTGCTCCTAAGAAAAGCAGCAGGGTAAGATCACCCCCAGTCTGAGATCTCTGAGGCAGCACTGGCCCCACACTGAGATGGGATTTTCATCTTTTCATCTGCAAACCCCTCTTTGTTTGGGGGATCTCTGTCCTCCTGCGTTGCTGTGGGCAGTGTTTCGCTGCCATCCCCTCATTCCTGCAGCATCCTGCATTTCCAGCAGCTCTCAGAAGTAATCCTCCTTCTTGCCAGCACCTCCCTGCCTCCCCACAGGCTCCTTCTGCTCTTGGACAAGCTCCAGGTCGTCGTTGTCATCCACCTCCCCTCCATGATCCTCCTGTGATGGGAACAGCCAGGAAGGGAAAAAAAATCAGCAAAAAGGAAATCCTGGAAAAGGAGATCCCAAAGCAAACCACGCTGTCCCTGAGCAGAACTGTTCCACCAAACCAGCCCAGCTTGGAAACCTGGGAGAACAGGGCAGAACCCACCTCTGGTGGCACCTTCAGAGGTGTTTTAGGCACATTTTAATATCCTGGCAGTGCAGTGGAGCTTTGATATCTCAGCTTTGATACCTCAGCCTGTCGCCTCTGCTGCACGAGGGGCAGATGTGAAGAGCAGGAGCTGATATTTTACATCCTCCACATTTCAAACTGTGCCACCCACCCCAGCCAGGCCATGCAGAGCCTCCAGGGAGGATCTGAGCTCCAAGCATCCATTGGAGACACCTTCAAGAGGCCTGGAATCATCACTCAGGGAGAGGAGACCTGACACCAACCCTGCTCTGTATTTCCCTTCATTCCCAAACCCTCAGCAATCCTGGGAAACTGCAGGAAAACCCCTCAGGAGCCACTCACAAAGGGCAGGGAGGGAATGAATGAGACTGGAAAAGGATTCATTTCTATCTCTGAAGGTGCCAGGGTGATCCTGTCCAGCTCATGCTTGAAAAACATTGATCTGGTATTGCTGCACTGGCACAGCCTTGGTTCCTGCTGGGATTGATCCCTGTTGTGATTCCCCCTAAAATTCCTCCTATAATTCCTCCTGTGATTCCCCCTGTGATTGATTCCTGCAGTGATTCCTTCTATAACTCCTCCTGTGATTCCTCCAATAATTCCTCCTGTAATTTCTCCTGTAATTCCTTCTGTGATTGATTCCTGCTGTGATTCCTGCATTCTATAATTCTTCCTGTGATTCATCCTATAATTCCTCCTGTGAAATTCCTGCTGTGATTCCTCCTGTTATTCTCCCTAGAATTCCTCCTATAATTTCTCCTGTTTCCCCATGCGATGGATTCCTCCTGTGATTCCTCCTGTAATTTCCCCTATGATTCCTCCTGTGGTTAATTTCTCCTAAAATCCCTCCTATAATTCCTCCTGTGAGTCTCCCTAAAATTCCTCCTATAATTCCTCCTGTAATTCCTCCTGTGATTGCTGCTATAATTCCTCCTGTAATTTCTCCTATGATTGATTCCTGCTGTGATTCCTGCAGTGATTCCTTGTATAATTCTTCCTGTGATTCATCCTGTAATTCCTCCTGTGACTGATTCCTCCTGTGATTCTCCCTAAAATTCCTCCTATAATTTCTTGTTTCCCTCATGATTGATTCCTCCTGTAATTCCTCCTATAATTTCTCCTGTGATTCCTGCTATAATTCCTCCTGTAATTTCTCCTATGATTGATTCCTCCTGTGATTCCTGCAGTGATTCCTTCTATAATTCCTCCTATAATTCTTACTGTGATTCCTCCTGTAATTTCTCCTATAATTCCTCCTGTGATTGACTGCTGTGATTCTTCCTGTGATTAATTTCTCCTAAAATCCCTCCTAAAATTCCTCCTATCATTCCTCCTGTGAGTCTCCCTAAAATTCCTCCTATAATTTCTCCTGTAATTCCTCCTGTGATTCCTGCTATAATTCCTCCTGTAATTTCTCCTATAATTCCTCCTGTGACTGATTCCTGCTGTGATTCCTCCTGTGATTCTCCCTAAAATTCCTCCTATGATTGATTCCTGCTGTGATTCCTGCAGTGATTCCTCCTAAAATCCCTNACTTTTTTTGGCCTTGCACTGTGGCCGAGCAAAACCCCAATTATTTATGCAGAGCCAAGCAGGCCCCTGTGCTTTGGCTTGGCCAGCCTGGCTGTGCTGGCTCCCTGGGAATCCTTTATCTCATTGTTTGCTCTCTTATCAATCCATCTGTTTCCTGAGATTTGTTCTGTGCAGCAAAACCCAGCCTGGGCTATTTCATGGCATTGCTTCAGCATTCTGCCGTTCAACTCCGTGATGTTCCAAGCTGAGAAGCCCCAGCAGGATCCCAGATTGCTCCAGAGCCTCCAGCCAGACCCAGCACCACCACAGGCTTTGGCTTTCCTGCTTCTCCTCCTCTGGATTTATTGTCTCTTCTCAAGGAAACACTGAAGGAGTATCAGAACTCGCTGTGGGCCAGGCAGTGAAGCACTGACAGCCTCCAGCTCACAGTTTATGCAGCACTCTGCTAATTTTAGCCTCAGATGTGGCCAGGGCAGACAGTGCCCAGGGCAGAGATGTTTGCTCTCAGCACATGACATATGGTTCCTAAAGCACCCTCCGAGCTGGGAGCTTTGCGTCCAGCCCAGTTGCTGCACTTCCCCCCGAGTCATAACTCTGAGGATTACTCACCCTAGACGTGCAAGCACAGAGAATCTGCCTCCTAATTTAGATTTTCCTGCAGCCTGAATCCACGAGCAGCCTCACCCCCGTTGGGCTTCTATTTGCAGTGCTTGATTCACTTCCAGTCAGGGCTGAGGCAGCCAGAGCCAGGGAGGGAGAGCTGAGCTGAACACAGCTGGGTGATGGAACCCTGGCTGCTGAAAATATTAAACTTTCTGTTTAAAATTAGAGCTTTCTGTGCTGACAGGCAGAGAAAACGGCATTGGACCTGAGGCTGTGGAGAAGGGCTCCAAAATGGAATGATGGAACTGGGATGGTGGGTGTGGGGCTGGTTAGAAGTGGAAAACTTAAAGAGTTTGGGGATCACAGGGTGGAAAATGTAAGAGTTTGGGGTTTTAGAATATAGAAATTAATATGAAGCAAGATGGAGGCTTAAGGGCAGAGACAGGTTGTTCTTCTTTACCTTCTTCTTCCTGCTTCTCCATGGGTTTGGGTGCTTTTGTGTGATTGGACAGAAAAGTCCACATTGTGGGGTCGAGTGATCAGTTATTGGGTTAAAAGGGAAATTAATTTAGGTATCATTACTTAATTGGACNACAAGGATGCTCAGACCCCCCAAAGGTTGGCACAGGGGATGTGCAGCCTCTCCGTGCCTCCCCCGGGCTCTGTTGTGCCCACCGGGGTCACGTCCCTCCAGGGCTTGGGGGGCTGCTCAGTCCTGTCTTGGCCAAGTTGCAGATTTCATCTCAGACCAAAAAAAAAAAATTTTTTTTAATTTGTCCGTAGTTTTGATCTGGTTTTACATAGCATCCTATTTTAATTTTTATAGCAGAACATAAGCATTTGTCTATATTTAACTTGTAAAATAGAATAATTAACATATGATTTTGTTAAAATCCTCAGAAATGTGCCTGAACACGTTGCTGTAGTTCTTCACTGTGTTACTTATTTAGAAACACATTGCAGTTTCCTGTGTGTGTTTCCTTTAAAAACAGCATTTGATTTATGTAACTTGAAAATACAACAAAAATAAGACCTATTTTTATTTCACAGCCTGAACAAAACCAAACCCAAATCATACCTGGAAGGTGAGGCTTGCATATACACAAAGTATAATTTGTTTAAAAAATTTTGCTTTCTGATGCATTGGACACAAATGGTCTGACATCAGGGCACCTTTTCCTGTTTGATTTTTCAAGTGTGTGCTTCCTGAGGAAATCTTTAATTTACCAATATCAAGTATTTCAAGTTATTTCCACATCTAATTTTTCACCAGATTGAATGGGGGTGTCTGCTAGCCTATGGAAAGTTGTCAGGAATCTCCTTTGATACCAAGAGGGATCAATAAAAAAATAAAATCAGCATAGAAAAGGATGCTGAAGGTGCAGTTATGGCTTGGAGAACACTCAGATACTGGAGCAGAAGAGGTGCTGTGCTGCTGAAGGCACTTCTTGGCAAATTTGCGTGTGGAATTCAGCCAGGATGCAAAAACTGGAGCTCTGACAGCCCTTCCTGAGCAAGGTGAGCGTGTTCAGGGAGTGGCTGGAGCCAAACCAAGATTTTCCTCCTTCAAACTTTGTGTCCTTCTCCTGACAGCAATGATTGTTCCAGAGCTGTCA